ACTGTGGCCCCAGAAGAAATGTTCTCATCAGCTTTTTTTATTGAGCAAGTGCTACGTGCCAATCACTGTGTGAGGGAGCAGAGCTGTGAACAAGGCAGCCCACTGGGCCTTTGGGAGCTGACACCGCGCATTGCCCGCGTAGGAATTGTAAGTGGCTCTCCATAAGGAGAACTTTGTGGTCCCAGCTGTGCCTGCTGAGCCCAGAAATGCCCAGGGTCCTGCCTCAGAGTCCATGTGACAGCAACAGGACGCAGACAGGAACAGGGATGTCCCAGGGGCCACGGAGAGGCTGCCTCTTGGGTGTCCGTAACTGCCTGCTGCTGGGTTCTGCCTGGGTAGCCAGTGCCCGAGCCAACCTCCCCCCGCGTGCCCGTCCCCTGTTCCTGACGCCCTTGGGAGGGACTCCTCACTGCACCCGCGGCTGCTCCCAGCCCCACCTCCCACCCACCAGTCTGAACAATCAGTTCTCACTCACCTGGAGGTCCCCAGAGTCCTCTGGTTGCTGAGCTGTGGTTGGACCGTGCAGAGCAGTCTCTGGGCAGGTGCACAGCAGGGAGCTCATCCAGAAGCGGAGCAGCCGGGACCCGAACGGACACTCCGATACGGGACGCTGGCATCGCAAGCCGCTTAACCCACTGTGCCACGACACTGGCCACTGCCAGTCCTCCCCTGATGGACACCTGGCTGCCCCCACCTCGGGGCTGCTGTGCCCAGCCGTCCTGGGAGCCTTGGTGCACGAGCGCCCACGCGAGTCCCTGCCTTCACTGCTTTGCGTGTGCGCCCAGCCGTGGAATCGCTGCATCAGCGACACGTCCTATTTTTGGTGTTTGGAGGCCTCACCACTGTTTTCCATGGCTGTGGCACCAGTTTACATCCCCACTGCCAACTTCTCCACAACCTGGCCAGCATGGTTTGTCCTCCGGGCTGTGGTGTTTGTGGTTGGCTTTGGTTTTAACAGCAGCTGGCCCAAGAGGTAAAAGCCAAAAAGCAATCTTAACTCAGTAGTCCCAGCGTGTGGAGCGGGGTGGTCGGGGGAGCAGGGCTGTGACAGAGTGGGCTAAGCCTCCTCCTGTGGCACTGGTTCGAGTCCCAGCTGCTCCACTTCTGATCCAGCTCTCTGCTATGGCCTGGAAAAGCAGTAGAAGATGGCCCAAGTCCTTGGGCCCCTGCACCCATGTGGGAGACTTGGAAGAAGCTCCTGGCTCCTGGCTTTGTATTGGTGCAGCACTGGCCATGTGGGGAGTGAACCAGCAGATGAAAGACCTCTCTCTGTCTCTCTGTCTCTGTCTCTCTCCCTCTCCTTCCCTCCCTCTCTCTCTCTCTAACTCTGCTGCTCAAATAAATACATAAATCTCAAAAACAAACAAAAAACAAAACAAACAAACAAACAAAACAAAAAAAAACAGTCCCTGGACCTGGCGAGCCCAAACGTCGAGTGGCTAACAGCCGGCACCTGTGTGCCTGCAGGCTCCACAGCCCTCAGCCCACCTTCCCACTCTCCATTCTGTCTGCTGCCCTGCCAGTGGGGCCGGAAGCTGCAGCCACGGCGCGGCCAGGCAGGAGGGACCCACGGGAGATCTGCTTGTCTTTCTGCAGTTCTCCTGGCGCCTGGTCCTCCTTCACAGCGGCCCTAGGTTCCTGTAGGAGCCACACGAGGCCAAGGGCTCCACTGGTCTGGGTCGGCTCCGGCTGCGGCCCCCGACGCTTCTCGCCCTGGGATCTTCTCACCTTTGCCTTGGCCATTCTCCAGCTTAGCCGGGGTGCTTGTTTACAACTTGGCCCTCCCCAGGCAGGGCCCCAGCAGGTGCAATCAATGGTCTGAGCAGGCGTCCTGCGTTCGTCAGGGATGCCGGTCAGTTGTGGGTGAGGAGGAGGCATCAGGTTTGGCGTGGAGTGGAGATGCTGGGGGTCGGAGGCGGCGGCTGTCAGAGGTGAGTGGAGGTGTTTCTCGGTCTCTGAGAGTCTGCTTTCTGTCCCGAGGCGGCCGGGTCTGAAAGGTGCCGGGAGTAGGCTGGGCACCGCGAGAGGCCTGTCTTGGCTTCTCCTCCAGGGGGCGCGCTGCCGATGAACTTGCCATTGTTTGAGCTGCGGGTCTGCTCTGGGTGCTGCCAGCCCTGGCCCCACCCCCACCCCGTGCCTGTGCCTGCCCGTGGGGACAGTTAGCGCAGCCAGCGCAGTCCCAGCACCCCGCTGCCTGTCTCCTACTTTTAACATTTTAGTCCTGTCCGTGAATCTCCGGCAGCCGCCTCTGGGAGGCCCACACCCAGCTGGGCAGTGGGGAGCCAAGGAGAGACGGGAGACTGCAGACCTGGGGTTCAGACCCAGCCGTGTCCCCTTAGGGCTTCCTGAACCAGGCAGGATGTGGGGGCATCAGCCGAGCCCTCTGGGGTGGGGCCCCCGACCCCTGCCTGCTCTCCCGTCTCGGCCTCTCTAGGCTTTGCGTCCTGTCTGAATGGGGCAGAACTGGCCTCCATGGCTGCTGTGTGTGCCAGGAGCAATGTGGGCAGGTGCAGCTGTCAAGTTCCCAGCCTTGTGCCCTTCTCCCCTGTCGCTGTGTTCCTGTGTCTCTGTCTCTGTGGTAGCCGGTGTCCTGGTGACCAACAGGCCCACCTGCTTGGCCAGCTGCCCACAAGTCTGTTATGTAATGGTTTGGCCCTGGGCTGCTGTTGTCTGTAAACCCAGATAAGCAGCTAGGGGCCATGGCTGGATGCAGCTGGTGTGACTGTGGCTGCGTGTGGCTGTGTGTGGCTGCATGTGTTGTGTGGCTACGTGTGGCTGTGTGTGGCCACGTGTGGCTGCGTGTGTTCTGTGGCTGTGTGTGGATAGGTCTAGATGTCTCTGTGCATGTATCCGACCATCGTCACGGACACAAAGGCAGCAAGCGGCTGTTCCCTGTGCCTTTGTCACCGCCGCTGTGAGTGCAGGAGATGCAAACCCACATACAACTCAGTGTTGCTCTCGGACCTGTTGGGATCCAGTTGTGCTTGTCCAGGGCCCTGAGCCCCCGGCGTGCACTGTGGCTTCAGATGACACGCGCATATCATCCTACAGCCCTGGCTGTCAGGAGTCCCACGGGGGCCTCCCTGGGCTGCACCGGCACGGCGGCCGGGCTCTCGGAGCCACTAGGGCACAAGGGGTTTTCCTACTCCTTCCTGCTTCCTAAGGCATCTTCCGTGACACCTTCATCTCCCTCTCCTTCTCCCTCCCTCCCTCCCTCTCTCTCTCTTAGCCAGACACAGACACAGCTTGTCCACCCATTGGTTCACTCCCCCAGTGCCCACCGCAGTCAGGGCTGGGAACTCCACCTGTGGACCCCAGTTCTGGCGCCCCCAGCTGCTGCCTCCCAGGGTGCTCGTTGTCAGGAAGCCAGACTCGCACGCAGAGCGGGGGCCTTGAAGGCAGGTGCTCGGGACAGGATGTGACCTTTAACCCCTGTGCCCAGCCCCTGCCTGCTCTTCCTCGCCCTCGTGGTCGCCCCGAGCCCCTCACCCTCCCAGGACGTCCTCCCTGTTTTAAGGGCAGCTGGTCAGCGTTGTGTCACTGCTGCTGCCCACATCACATCACGTGGTCCCAGGCTCCCCCTGTGAGTGAATGGCTCCACCCACGGGGGCAAGGAGGAATAAATGGATAAATTGTCACCACACCCCTAGCGTGGAGCAGGTCAGCAATGGTTGCTGTGTCTGTCAGTTAGGGTTGGGGGAGCACAGCTGCAGGGCTGAGAGCTCTGAGCCTCGGTTTTCTCATCTGGGCAATGGGCACATCCACTGACGGTGCGGATTGCTGTGGGGGAGATGGTGCCTGGCTCATGTGTAACTGGGCGCAGTATATGGCAGGTGCTCAGATGCTGGCCATTTGCGTTCTCCCTCCTGTATAGGTCACCTGACTCCAGAGAAAAGCCCTCACTGCTCCTGTCTCTGCGTCACGCTTTCTTCTGGCCTCACTGTGGCCCTGCTTGGAGCTTGGGACCTTGGCGTCTCTGCCTGACCCCACGCGGGCCTTGCTCCCACTCACCCGCAGTCAGAAATACTCAGGCACCAGGGCGGGCTCCCCTGCCTTTCCACAGGGTGACCTGGCAGCCCAGGACTCCCCCTCCCCGCTTAGCGCCCAGGGCGGAGGAGGGCGCCCTGACCTGTAGCTTCTGCAGAGGCCCTGGGCTGGTGACTGCCGTGGCCAGGGTCACTCCTGCCACCCCCTGCTGAGGCTGGCTGGGGGCTGCGAGGCTCTTGTTGGCTGCGCCTGGGTCACAGGACCACCCAGCAGCCCAGCCAGGGAGGGCAAGTGAGGGGCCGAGAGAGATGGCCGGGGGCGCTACATGCACCGGCTCCCTACCGCCTGCCTGCTCTCCACGGCAGTGGGTCCTGTTCAGAACCTCACCACTCCCGGGCCTTCAGTCCTTACACATCCTAACTTGCTCACCGCACACCCGTGAACCCGGGCTCCCTGCTGAGCCTGCCAGCCATTGCCTGGGTGGCCTGAAGAGCGAGACTCCTTGTCAGTCTGCCTTTGGCTGTGACCTTGGGCAGCAAGTCACCTGCTTTATTCCTCTGCGCCTCAGTTTCTTCATTGGCAACGTGATGTCATTAATAAGCCACACCACCAGCGGGGCTACTGTGAGGCTTGAATGAGCTACCACAGGGCCTGGCACACAGCAGGTGCAGCAAGGGTGGCTGCCCTGGGATTGAGCACAGACCCCCACCCCAAACCTCTCTGTCCCCTACCTTCTGAGCAGCAATCGGCACTCACAATCCCTGAGGGACGGTAAAGAGAGGCCACAGCCACTTCACTGATGACACGTGCCCCTCCCCCAGCCCCGCCTCCATCTCTGTTGTGCTGGGAGCTTGGTGTCAGGAGACCTGGGCTCCATGTTTCACCGGATGGCCCCTCGAACCCTCAGTTTCCCTCATCTGTAAAGTAGCTATTATCTGCAGGGGGGGGGGGGAATGAATGGCATGGTTATCCTGCAGCCCTGCCCTTGCACCTGCCCCAGAGTCACAGAGCGGCCGTCCAGCCTTTATTGCGAGCAGACATTGAACACTACAGCAGAGAACCCTGGGGTGGACCAGTCGTGGAATCTTCATCAACAACAACGGAAACTGCATTGGAGTCTCGTCGCATGGAGCTGAGGTCACAAATGGGCCCTGCTGGGCTTTGTGTCTCAACAGGATGCATGCCCCATAGAAAGTTCCAGAACCAGCGATGACTTAAAGAGGGCCCTGGGAGAGAGGGCTCTGCACCACGCCCCTCAGGCAGCTGGCTGGCTGCTGACAAGGCTGAAGGTTCTGGCCCTAGGGTCCCAGAACTCCCAGCACATGGCCAAGCATCGGGCGGTTAGGAAGGGTCATGTCGCGGCCACTGTGACAGTCACAGGTTCTTCTGCTGCTGCAAGAGCCTCTGTCAGGGCCAGCGCTGTGGCCTGGTGGATAAAGCCGCCACCTGCAGCGCCGCCATCCCATATGGGTGCCGGTTCGAGTCCCGGCTGCTCCTCTTCCGATCCAGCTCTTTGCTGTGGCCTGGGAAAACAGTAGAAGATGGCCCAAGTCCTTGGGCCCCTGTACCCACGTGTGAGGCCAAGAAGAAGCTCCTGGCTTCAGATCAACCCAGCTCCAGCCATTGCAGCCATTTGAGGAGTGAACCAGCGGATGGAAGACCCCTCTCTCTGTCTCTGCCTCTCTGTTAACTCTTTCAAATAAATAAATAAATCTTAAAAAAAAAAAAAAAGCCTTGGTTACCTTCTCCTTCCCCACCCCATCGACAAGGACCCCTGAGCCCAACTGTCTACAGATCCTGCGCTGGGGAATCAGTCGTCGCCAAAGGGCCGCAGTGAGTGCCACCAGGAAATATTCGGCATTGCCCTTGGCACCGAGCAAGTGCCACGCCGTGCCATTTGCTTTCTCTCTTTCTGGAACTGTCTGAAACCCCAGGACCAGAAGCACCCCTCTTTCCTCCCACTGCCACCCCAATATGCCCTTAGAAAGACCCCCCCTCAAGCCCCAGACCATGGCACCTCCCCCTCCACAACCCCAGGGAACCTGTCTGCACAGTGACTGAACCGACAGCAAAACAGCGCTCTCTGGTATGAAAAAAAAAAAAAAAAAAAGGGAGCTTCCCAGGATCAAAAGTGCTTGTTGGAGTAAGACGTCCACGGCTGGCCGGGGCACCCCGAGCCCACCACGGGTGCCAGGCGCCGGTGGCTTAGGTGCTGGGGAGATGCCGGGATGGGGGCAGCAATGGAGGAGTCCGTGGAGGGGGAGTGTGTGAGACACAATAAATATAAATAAATGGACACGCAGGCACGGAGCCCAGCACGCCCAGGAGGCCACTCCGGGAGATGCTAAAGACGCTAACAGGCTGTGAAGCGGGCTCGGCAGCCTCCCAGGCAGGCTCTCCTTCCAGAGTTCAGCCCGCGCTGGGGTCTACCGGGAAGTTCAAGGTTGGCCTCCGTGGAGCCCGAGATGGCTGTCTCTGCCCCTTAGCCTGTGCCCCAGCTGGGCTGCTCGCCAAGGTGCCTGGGGAGGCGGCCTGGCAGCCAGAGGCTGCACTGGAGAAATTCTCAACAGAGCTGGACCAGGCAGCCTGGTCCACCCTCTCCTGTGCTTCTGTCTTGGGAAGGTTCCAGAAGCTTCCTGTGGGAGGCACAAAAGGGGCTGGAGAGAGAGAGAGAGAGGCTGCAGCCTTGCCAGGACTCCAGGAGGGGCCCATGGGAGGCAAGGGGGCGGTCCTTCCAGGAATGCCCTGCTACGGTCAGTGCCAGCCCCGAGGGCTCAGAGCAGGGCGATGGGCTTGTTCCCCGGCGCTCCCAGGTACTGCGTGGAGGAGGCGGCGCCCGCCGCGGCCACACCGTCGGGGTTGGAGTAGGCAGCGTAGAGACCCGTCAGCTGCACATCTGCGAAGCCCTGCTCACTGCCGCCAGGCACGGAGGTCAGGCCCGAGGCCCCCAGGTCACAGCCAAGCGGGGAGTCTCCGAAGGTCCCCAGGGCGTCCAGGCTGAAGCCGTCCTCCTTCATCTCCTCCCACAGGTTCCCTGGCCAAGACAAGGGGCCCCGTGAGTCGGCGACACACCGGACATCTCCGGTCAGGTTCCGGTCTAAGGGAGGAGGCCTCCCTGGCACGTGGCAGGTGCACCCACGTTCCTGCAGCCTGAAATCCCCAATTGCGCATCCATCCATCCATTCATTCGTTCACGTCCTCTTTACTGAAGACCATGCCATGGGCGCGGGTCAGCGGGTGACCGGGCTCACAGCTGTGAGTGCAGTGGTTAGTGATGAAAAGTCTGTAGCCAGAGAGACCCGGGCTGAGTGCCGGCTTCAAGGACCAGCCAGCTGGCGGATGCTGGGCCCCTGGCCTCAGTTTCCTCATTGGACAGGAAAGGGCGTGGCCTCAGGGGACCATGACAGATGACATGACGCCTCTGACATGCCTGCCCCTCACCCCTGGCCTGGTATACAGGAAGTGCTCACTGTTTGCTGTGATTAGCTATTCCTAGGGGGGTTGCTATGGCAACGAGGCTGGGCGGATGCAGGCAGTGTCGGTTTCCTCCCCCGCCCCGCCCCTGCCCATCACCTGTCTCCAACCCCGGTTCCTCCAGCCTCACCCTGCAGAGCGAAGTCCACGATGCTGGGGTCCAGGGCGTCCACCTCAGTGTTCATGTCCGTGCCGATGTTGATGAAGTCCACGGGGCCCCTGCCCACGGCGGGGTGAGGGAGGGGGCCGGGGCTCAGGGCCGGCAGGGCGTGCAGGGGCGGGGTCTGCGCCGGCGCCGGGGAGTCTGGAGCCAGATGGGCTTGGGGCTGGACCTGGTGGTTCAGGGGGACCGACTGCAGGGACAGGGTCCTGAGCGGCTGGGGAGGGAGCTGGGAGACAGCCAGGCAGCCGTGGGCCATGGTCGCCGTGGCAGGGCGCAGCAGGCCAGGGGGCTCCGGCTCTCCGGGTTTGCCAGGGCGCCGGCAGCTTTCAGGTCGGTCGGAGATCAGCTTGTCCAGTTCCTCTGCGGGAATGGGGCGGTGAGGGGGGGAGGTCACTGAGAACCCACCCGGCAGGCACCAGGCCGCAGCCCCGCCCGGCTTCAGACGCCTCGCGGCCTCTCGGAGTCTGTCTCCTCTTCTAGGGCACAGCATCACCTGTGCCGCAGGGTCTTGGAGGGAGGAGCGGGGCCCTGGAACCCCAGCCGAGGGAGGGAGCTCAGGCAGGCATGAGAGACCCCCATGGGGCCAGGCCCCCACGGACTGAAAAGCAAGGGGTCTTGGCCCATCCCTGCTGCCGAAGCAAGGGGGCGCTGTTACTCTGACGTTGCGTGGGGCTGTGGGCTCTGACCTGTGCAATGGATCACGACGCGGACACCCGACCCTCGGGTCCCCTGGTCTAGCAGGGCCGCCCCCAACCCCTTCAGAACTGGGAACACTCAGGGGCAGCTGCTAGGGATGCCAGCACCCCATGCCGGAGTATCCGGGTTTGAGTCCCGGCTCTGTTCCTGACTCCGGCTCCCTGCTGGTGCGCACCCTGGAGGCAGCAGGTGCTGGCCCGCTGCTTGGGTCCCTGCTGCCCACGTGAGGGCCCTGGACGCAGTTCCGGCTCCGCCTTCTGCTGGGCGCAGCACAGGTGTCAGAGGCGTTTGAGAACTGAAGCGTTGGATGAGAGCGCTCACTCTCGCGCTCGCTCTCTCTCTCACCCCCATTCTCTGTCTTTCAAATAAGTACATAAATTTTACAAAAAATTTAAGGGAAAGAAATGAAAACATTTAGAATCTAGAAGGCCAAATGAGCTGCCCAAGACCTCACTTTCTTTTTTAAGATTTATTTGCTTGAAAGGCAGAGAGAGAGAGAGAGAGAGGCTGGCAGTCCCTCCTGTTAATATGCAGCAGGACTGGCCTAGGTCTCTCGAGCCAGACCCCAGAGCTCTTGCTGAGGTCGGGGTGCGTGACCCCCACCCCAGCTGAGAGCCTGGGGCGCCCCTGCGGCCCTCCCCTACCTCACTGGCTTGTTCACCTGTGAGCTGCACTCCCAGCCTCCCTCGGGCCAGACCTCAAGGGAGCCAGGCCATGTGGGCGGAGGCTGGGCAGAGCCGGCTCCCCTGCGGGGCTGTGGATAGACAGCCTGGACATACATTCCTGGTCAGGGTGTGTGTACACAGTGCAGTTGGGGTGTGTGCAGTTGGCGTGTGTGTACAGTTGTGTGTGTGTTATAGTTGGAGTGTGCAGTTTGTTCTTGTGTGTATACAGTTGTGTGTGTGCACAGTTGGTGTTTGTGTGTACAGTTTGTGTACACAGCTGGTATGTTTACACAGCTAGTGTGTACACAGTTGGTATGTGTACAAGTTGGTGTTTGTACACAGCTGGTGTGTGTGCACAGTTGTGTGTTATTGTGTACACAGTTGTATGTGTACACAGTTGTGTGTGTACACAGCTGGTATTGTACACAGTTGTGTGTTCTGTGTACACAGTTGTATGTGTACACAGCTGGTGTTGTACACAGTTGTGTATGTGCACACAGTTGTGTGTTTGTGTGCACAGTTGTGTGTACACAGTTGTGTATGTGTACACAGTTGTGTGTTTTTGTGTGCACAGTTGTGTGTGTGTGTGTACACAGCCGGCCCTCTGTGTTTCTGTGATTCTGGGTTTGCAGATCCATCCAGCGGAGGATTGGAAATCTGTCTCAACACCGTCTGTACTGGGCGTGTGCAGGCTTTTCTCCCGCGTCGCTATTCCGAAGCTACACAGCACCACCTGCACTTCCTCCCCGTGTGCGCGGGGCAGGAGCCCATCAGAGAGGGCCCAGCACAGTGGCAGCAGAAGGTCAGCTCACGTTGGCGCCAACACCTGTGGACTCGTGCATCTTCCTTTACGACACTGCCCCGTGAGCCCTCTGTGTACCTGAACTTCACAGTGAACATCTCTATTCCCAGTTTCCTCTGAAGTCTGGAGCGCCGTCGCACAGGGGCCCGAGCGTGGGTTCTGTGCAGCCCCTGCCGCTTTGCCTAACGGGGGGATTTACACCGATTTTGGAATCTGCCGGTGATGAGCACCAACTGTATACGCATGCACACGCTTGGTCTGAAGCTGCACCTGCGGCTTACGGCAGCTTGCTTCGACACCAGCCCCCGCTGTGCCCTCTCTCAGGAGGGGGAGGCTGTGTTCATGTCCCCTCTAAAGCATCTGCCAGTCCTAACCCGGGCGCAGGGGCCCTGACGCCTGCTTCACCAGCCCTCGGCGGCGCGGCGATTCACCCTGTCCGCTTTCACTCCCAGAAACAGTTCTGGGTGAGGAGCCGCTTTCAGCGACCACGGGCTGCGGTCCTGGACCACCTCTGTGCAGGCTGGGAGACGGCCCCGGCTGCAGGTTTCTGAGCCCTTGCCCTCCCCTCGTGTGCTGCCCCCACCATGTGCATGTGTGTGCGTGGTGTGCGTGGTATGCGTGGTGCCGTGGTTTGTGTGTGCATGTGGTATATGTGGGCATGCTGGTGTGTAAGTATGGAGTCTGGCATGTGTGCAAGTGTGAATGTGTGTATGCTGGTAAGTGCATGTGTGGACACTGGCATGTGTGTACAGGGTGCATGTGTGTGGTATATATGCATGTGTGTGGTGTACACGTGTGTGCATGGTATATATATGTATGCTGGCATGTATCCACATGCATATGGTATGTATGTATACACGTGGTGTACACATATATGTGCTGGTACGTGTACGTGTGCACATTGTGTGTGCACGTGTACATGTGTCTGTGCTGGTGTAGGTGTGTGTGTGGTGTACACGTGTGCTGGTGTGTGTGGCATGTGTTGCATGTAAATATTGTATACATGTGTGTGCTGGTGCATTGTGTGGCGTACATGTGTGTACGTATGCTGCACGTGTATATGTGCTGATGTGTGTGTGCATGCTTACACATGGTGTGTGCATGTGTGCACATGGTGTACGTGTGTGCTGGTGTATATGCATGTACACATGGTGTGTGTACATGTATGCATGAGTATGTGTTGTGCATGGGTGTGCATGTGGTTTATGTGTGCACGTGGTATACGTGTACATGCGTGGAGCTCACTGGGGTTGCCCATACTGTGACGGATGGCATGGTGAGTGTGTGCACATGGTGTATATGTGTGTGGACATGTGGTGTATGTGTGCATGCATGGAGCTCACCGGGGTTGGCCATGCTGCTGCGGATGGTGTGGTGAGCGTGTGTGCGTGTGCATGTGGTGTATGCGTGCATGTACACGTGGTGTATGTGTGTGCACACGTGTGGCTCTCCGGGGTTGGCCATGCTGCGGCGGATGGTGTGGTGAGTGCGTGTGCGTGTGCATGTGGTGTATGCGTGCGTGTACACATGGTGTGCATGTGTGCACACGCGTGGCTCACCGGGGTTGGCCATGCTGCGGCGGATGGTGTGGTGAGTGTGTGTGCATGTGGTGTATGCGTGTGTGTACACGTGGTATATGTGTGTGCGCACGCGTGGCTCACCGGGGTTGGCCATGCTGCGGCGGATGGTGTGGTGAGTGTGTGTGCATTTGGTGTATGCGTGTGTGTACACGTGGTATATGTGTGTGCACACGTGTGGCTCACCGGGGTTGGCCATGCTGCGGCGGATGGTGTGGTGATTGTGTGTGCATTTGGTGTATGCGTGTGTGTACACGTGGTGTACGTGTGTGCACACGTGTGGCTCACCGGGGTTGGCCATGCTGCGGCGGATGGTGTGGTGAGTGCGTGTGCGTGTGCATGTGGTGTATGCGTGTGTGTACACATGGTGTGCGTGTGTGCACACGCGTGGCTCACCAGGGTTGGCCATGCTGCGGCGGATGGCGGCCAGGTCCTTCCTCTTGCACTTGTGTAGCTCCTCCTCCATCTTGTCGATGCGGGCCAGGTTCAGGGCCCACAGGCAGCCCTTGCGCGAGGAGCCGCCCGCCTTGTTCTCCACCTTCTCAAAGCACTTGTTCAGGGACAGGTTGTGACGCACCGAGTTCTTCCAGCCGTCGGGTGCCGTCTGCGGGGAGGCCCGGAACTCGGGACCCCCGCAGAGACCCCCACCCCAGGGACGGGCCCGCGGGATGGGACCCAGCGGTGGCAAGGGAGATGCTCAGAGCGAGCGAGATCTGAGGCAGCCTGGGGGCTGTGCCCTGCTGAAAGGGGCCTGCGATCCCATCCCCCAGCCCCCAGCCCCCAGCGGCTGTAAGGCGGTGGATCCATCACCCTCTCTCCACGCAGGGAGCCGGGCAGAGAGGCTGAGGCCCGGACAAAGCACCCAGTGTGTCACACGCATGTACTTTATACCTAAGGGGCAGCCCTGGTTTCGGAGACGAAAGCCCGGGCAGCTCTCGCACCTGCAGCCGGGGTGGGGCCTCACCTTGAAGTAGGGGAAGTGCTCCTTCATGAAGCTGTAGATCTCGCTCACGGGCAGGCTGCCTGTCTTGCTGTTCTTCAGGGCCATGGCGATGAGGCAGCTGGGAGCGAGAGGCCGGGTGGGCTGGGTGTGAAGGGGGTCTGGGGCTGACTCGCCAAAGCCCCCCTCCTCCAGGAAGCCCACCCTGCTTGACCCCAGCATGCTCTCAATGCCTCATCTCCCCTCCCCCCAATCCTCTCTGCCTTTCTCCTTGACCCTGGGCTCAGCCTTCCTCACTGTTGTCTCCCACTCTTCCGTACATCCCTGTAGAGGTAGAGAGCATCTGCAGCCCCTCAGGTCTTGCCCCAGCTGCCCTCCCCCACCCCCGCCAGGCACCCACAAGGCCCCACTGGCTGTTATCCCAATGACCTTCCATGTTGGAAGAGACTGGCGCTCAGAGAGGCCGAGACACCCTGCCCCACCCCAGGCCACACAGCTTGGGGTGTGGGTGAGCTCTTGGACCTGATGTTGGCCGACCCATGTGGAGGCTGGCACCTGGGGGGTTCTCCCACTGCCCCAGGCCCCCCCAACGCAGCCCTGACCCCTCCTCCCCCAGCACCTGCACCTGGCCCTGCCCACCGTGGACCTCACCTGTATGAGTAGATGGGCTTGGGGTAGTGCTTGGGACGGAGTTCCTGAGATGGGAGCACAGCCATGTGGGGCTGGGGGTAGGGGGGCCGTGCCCCAAATGGGGAGCCATAGAGGCCGGCAGGAGGGCACTTCCCGCAGGGGGAGGGGGAGAGAGAGAGGGAGGGAGGGAAGGAGGTGAGAAGGAACAAGTCACACACAAGACCCCTGCCCTGCCCAGGGGAGGCTGATGGGGGTGGGGCCAAGAGTCTGGGGACAACAGAACCAATGACCCCAGCACAGCAATGGGTGATGTTGGGTAAACTGAGGCCCAGGGGTCCCCCCGGCTGCCCCAAGGCAGGGGTGTCTGCCTCTGAGATCGGGGCTGCTGGGAGCTTCTGGTACCTGCTGGGCGCCTGGAGGGAGAGGGAATGGTGGCTGGGTGGCCGGTGGGTACAGCTGGGACGTGTCCTGCAAGCGAGGTGAGGGCTGGCCACCCACTGAGAACTGGCTCATCTGCTGGGACCGGGAGAGGAGGAGGCAGGGGGTCAGGGTGGCAGTGGGGCACCCAAGCCCTGGGGGGCATCCCTTTGCTCCCCCACCCCCACCCCCCAGGAGGCACTTACACTGACTCCATGGCTGGCTACGGGGCCCAGGCCCAGCAAGCTCCGGGGGGCCATGCCGGCTGGACCAGGGAGCAGGGGCCCTGGGGTAGGTCCCACGTGCAGGTCAGCAGCCCCGGCCGGGGCACCTGCAGGGGAGAGGTGCAGAGGGACTGCAGAGCTGGAGGAACAGGGTTGCAGGCAGGCCCAGCCCACCCCAAGGCAGCGCCACCCCCACCATGAAGGGCCTGGCAGTCCCTCCTGGGCGCATGACTGCAGCCAGCACCGGTCTTGCTTGCATTTGGGCTGCTGCTGTTTCCGGTAAGAGATGAGATAATGCCCATCGAGTGCCTACTTAGCACCTTGACGGATGTGGGATGCCAGCCGGCAACAGGAGCCGAGGAGGAGGAGGAGGATGTAACTAACACCTGTCCTTTACCCAGCGGCAACGCTGCCATCCACTGTGCGTTTTCTTCTCTAAAACACCCCGTGGCTCCCCTGACACCCCGTGGCTCCCCTGACTCCCCCGTGGCTCCCCTGACTCCCCCATGGCTCCCCCGTGACTCCCCTGTGGCTCCCCTGTGCCTCCAGGTTTAGGTCCAATGCTTCTGTGTGCCTCTTCTCCTTTTGCTAAGCTCTGCTCCTCTAACCAAGAATCAGCACAGGAATCACCGGTGTACAAGCTGCCTCCTCCCGCCTGTGCTGGGCCTGTGACAGACATTGCTAATCCATCCCAGAGTCTCACCGCACCAGCCTGATTTCAGCCAGTCACTTGCAATCAGGCAGAGTTGCCCTGCAAGACGATGCCACCCCAGGGCCATCTCTTCCAGGAAGCCCTCTGGGTCCTTTAGTTCTTCAGCAAGTACTGGCTGCTGCCTGGGCTCACCCTGCAGGCTTTGGTCTGTTTGTCTTGGCCTTTTCTGCCTGCCCAGACAACAGGGACCACACCGCCCATGGCTCACTGCTGCACACACTGGGCCGTGAGAGGCACCCAGCAGGTGCGGTGGGCATGGAAGGAGCTTCCTTACTTTACCATTCGTGGAATGCCTCCCGTGCTCTGTGCCCATTGCATTGAGCCATCACGCTCCCCCAGGAGAGCAGTTGTGTCACAGCTCAGTGCAGACGAGGAACCAGCTCAGATCAGAGGGCAACCCCCCCATGTGCTTGTTCCCTGGGCTCCAGATCCAGGGTGAGCAACACGACCAGCAGGCCGAATGCGGCCCACAGTCTGGTTGTATAAATAAAGTTTTATTGGCACAGGCACACCTATCAGAGGTCTTCAAAAAGTTCTTGGGAGATGCATTTTGTGGGAAAAAAAAGCTATGTGTAGATTTCAAAAACTTTTTTGCACTATAATAATAATAAACTCCATTTCCATGGAGTTTTTCAAATATTCCCATTCGTTTTCTTGTTTATAAATTTTTAGTTATTTTCTTGTTTTATTTGGAAGAGAAAGAAAGAGACATAGAGAGAGCTCTTCCATCTGCTGGCTCACTCCCCAAATGCCTGCAACAGCCAGGACCTGGAATTCAACTCTGGTTTCCCATATTGGTGGCAGAGATCCAAGCACTCGGGCCATGATCTGTTGCCTCCCAGGAGCTCACTAGCAGGAAGCTGGCTCAGAAGTGGAGCAGGCCCTCCGATATGGATGCGGGCTGGTCTAACCTCTGTGCCCAACGGCTGCCCCTATTTTCACACTGTTTGTGACTGAATTTGTGCCATGGAAGCAAAAATGGACTAGCCTCCATAGAGACTGTGCAGCCTAGCAAGTCTAAAATGTTTATCACCTGGCCCTTCCCAGAAAGAGTTTGCGGATCCCTGTGCAGGAATGATTGGCTCAATTAAAAAAAAATCCTAGACATTGACTTTTCAACTATTGGTTCATTTAATGTACTGTGCTGGTTGTTTCCATCGTGTTTCTTCAACATTTTAAAAAATATTTATTTGAAAGGCAGAGAGGGGGCTGGCACTGTGGCACAGTAGGTAAATCTTCCACCTGCAGTGCCAGTATCCCATATGGGCGCCAGTTCTATTCCTGGCTGCTCCTCTTCTGATCCAGCTCTCTGCTATGGCCTGGGAAAGCAGTGGAAGATGGCCCAAGTGCTTGGACCCCTGCACCTACGTGGGAGACCTGGAAGAAGCTCCTGGCTCCTGGCTTTGGATCAGCGCAGCTCTGGCCGTTGCGGCCATCTGAGGAGTGAACCAACAGAAGGAAGACCTTTCTCTCTGTCTTTCCCACTCACTGTCTATAACTCTACCTCTCAAATAAATAAATGAAATCTAAGGAAGGGAGGAAGGGAGGAAGGGAGGAAGAGAGGAAGAGAGGAAGAGAGGAAGAGAGGCAGAGAGAGACAGAGATCTCCCATCCACTGGCACTGGTTCACTCCCCAGATGCTCACAACAGCCAGGGCTGGGCCAGGCTGAAGCCCGGAGCTCAGTCCAGGTCTCCCACATAGGTGGTAGACACCCAAGTACTTGAGCCATCACCTGCTGCCTCCTAGGTGTGCATTACCGGGAAGCTGGAATTGAACCCAGGCGCTCGGATACGGGATACGGGTGCCCCCAGCAGCACCAAGTACCTGCCCCTGAGCATTCTCCACGTCTCTAAGGAATCCACCTGCTGCCAGTGCAACCCACAGCTGTGTACTGGCCTCCTGCTCCTGGGCCTTCAGGGGCTTCCCAAAACAGCCAAGGGAAAGTGATTTAGACTTCTCGGGCCATGTGGTCTCTGTCATCTTTTCCTTACAACCCTTGAAGAATAAAAACCATTCTTAGGGCCGGCGCTGTGGAGTGGTAGGTTAAGCCTCTCCCTGTGGCACCGTCATCCTGTATGGGCACCGGTTCGAGTCCTGGCTGCTCCTCTTCTAATCCAGCTCTCCACTAATGCACCTGGGAAAGCAGCTTGGGCCCTTGTGCCCACACGAAGCTCCTGGCTTCAGTCTGACCCAGTCCTGGCCATTGCAGCCATTTGATGGAGTGAACCAGTGGATGGAAGTTTCTCTCTCTCTCTCTCTCTCTCTCTCTCTCTCTCTCTCTCTGCCTTACAAATAAATAAATCTTTTTTTAAAGTACTGGAGGAGCAGCAGGTGTGGCTTCCTCCTTACAGGACCTGCAGCTTATCCAGGGCCTGGTGCCCTGCGTTCGATATGCGATGAACTCCATCCTTCAAAGGCTGGGTGGAATCAGCCCCGTGTTATAGCCCAGAGAAATGCAGGGACCCGGCCACACAGCAAGTGTAAGTGTTGGGGCTCAGATGCCCCTCCCCCATTCTCCTCCCTCCACCCCACCTGGGCCCTGAGCCTACCTGTGTGTGGATGTGGCGCCCTGGGGCCGCCCAGGTCCACGCGGCTGTTTACCATTTGCTGCAGCCGAGGCACGTCCACGGCCGTGAGCCACGACAGGGACTGCAGGTCCCCAGGGAGGTCTTCATTGCTGGTGGAAGCCAGGAGCCTGCGAAGAGGAGCAAGGAGCTCGGGCGGAGTGGGGGGGCTCAGCCGGTTCCTGGGGTGGGGGAGCTTCCTGAACCCCAGGCCCCTCACTGCCCCCAAGCCACCCTCCAACCTACTGAGCATGGGGATGTGGCGAGCCCATCTCTCTTAGCCCTGCCTTTAGTGGGGTGCTCACTGCGGGCCTCATCCCATTTAATACCCCCATCACCCCACAAGGCAAGCACTGGTATTAGCACAAAATTCAAAATATTCCTAAATCAGGAGTACAGACGTAGTGCCGCAAGGAGGAAATTCTTCAAGTGACCTGGTGTGGGATGGCAGGATGTAGGTGCAGTACCAACATTGTATCATGATGCGGGTTCAGTACCAACATTGTATCATGATGGGGGTGCAGTACCAACATTGTGTCATGATGTGGGTGCAGTACCAACATTGTATCATGTTCCCTGCGGAGTGAGGGGTTCGGGAAGCATGAATGGATGTCCTGTTGAGACTTGAGTCCTCTCCCCCAGCATTGTGTATGCAGATTCTAGAATCTGAGGTCTGGAACGCTCCCGGCCTCTGGGCCCCATAGGCTAAGTGAGGACACTGAGGCACTATAGGAGCTCACCTGGGACTCCACAGCACACAGCAGGCAGAGCCTGTGGTCACCCAGGCCACTGCTGCACCCAGGTTGTCAGGTTCCAGGTCCTGGGTGGCTTCTGGCCATGCAGTATCCCTCGGGGCTGGCGTGGGGCTTGGGGACAGTCCACGTGGGTGACGGGGTTGGTTACGTGCTGAGCTGACTGAGTGCCTGCTCCATGCCATGCTCAAGGCTCAGTGCTCAGCACGGTCCCCCCTCAATCCCCACAGCAGCCCCGAGACTGGGATATGCTCAACTCCCACTTTTACAGGTGGGGAGACTGAGGCGCAGGACACGGGGTCACGTGCCCAAGGCAACACAGCATCAGAGTGGTGGGGCAGGGGGCTTGGGTGCAGCCTGAAGCCCAACTGCTTCCCCAGGACCCCAGGCAGCTCCTGCAGGCTCCAGTGAGAGACCCCCACCCACCACGCGCCATGGAATCCTGAGCAGAGAGACTTGGCTTCCTGTGGAAGAAAGAGGCTGCACCCGATTTGGACAACTTCTCTTCTGAGGTCGCACTGGCCAGGTGGCCCCAAGAGCCCAGGCCGCCCAGTGGCATCTGGCCTCTGTAGTGACGCATGCGCCAACGGACCCTTGGGGGGACCCAGCGCACCTGCCAACGTCACAGCAAGGGGCTGGCTGTCTTGTTGCTGGGAAGCCCTCAGCTCAAATCCTGAGCTCCAAGTTTTAAAGATCAGTGGCTCAGGCCTCCTGGGGGAGAGTACGGGGACAGAGAGAGACCCCAGAAGCCCCAGGTTCTGGTCCGGGGCCTGTCTGCCCCCTCTCTGCCTGGCGCCTCTAGGTCCAGTTCTTTCTCTCTCCCCCTTTGGTTTTCCTCGACCCCTCCTCCCCAGCACTGCTCTCCCTGCCCTAGTGTTTTAGGGCCCCAATTAGTGTTGCCATGGCCACGGCTGCTCCGCTGTCACAGGGCCTGGGCCCTCAGCCCACGGTGCTGGCGTCAGGTGACCGCCAGGCCGCCCTGGCCATTGGCTGCCTCATAGGAAAACAGTGCCTGGGGCGATTTGAAAACCCAGCCGGCCGGTGTCACTGGCAGCGGTTGGCCCGGCTGCTGTCCCCGGAGCCCCATTGTGTGACAAGCGACTGCTGGCCCCGTGGCACGTGGCCCCCATTGTCCTGGGGTCTCGGTGCAATTGTTTCTGTGCCCCTCCCCCTCCTGGCTGCTGCCTCTTCAGCTGGCTCGTAACTCATCTGGCCCGGTGACAGCCACGGGCCAGGCCCAAGAGATGCCATCTGTGTCCCCTAGGCCCCTCAGCACGGCATGAGGCGGAGGGGCAGGGCCCACCGTTGGGGACGCCTGGCCGGCCCCTGCCCTTCCTCCTCTTGCCACGCCGTGGCCAGCTGACTCAGCAGTGCTTGGTAAGGCAAGGCCCCTCCTGCTTAGGAACCTGCCGTAGCTCCCCACTGCCCTCACTGCTTTCCTCCTGCTCGCTAGAGACGAGCTGGAACAGAACCCCAGGTAGGGGTGAGGCTGACAGGCAGTACAGGGGGCGGTTAAGAGCAGGGGCTCTGGGTTCGGATCCTGGTTTCCCCTTGTCTGTGCACCTTGGGATGAAAATAACCCCCTCCCCCATCAGATGTTGGAGAACCAAATGGTTTTTCCATGCAGCACACTTGCAGGGGTGTCTGGCGCATGGCAATTATCGTACAGCTCTTAGTCCCAATCCTGACGGTCATAGTCACGTTACTGTTAGCCAGCCCTGGGGTCTGCAAGCTTCGTACATAGGTCGCAGGGACCTGCCCTGCTGCCGCTCCTCACACTTCCCGTATGCCAGACTGGGGTTCTGCACCATCCCCATTTTATAGATGGAGAAACTGAAACTGAGGCCTGGGAAGTCACTTAAAGGACTCCAAGCCTGTCTCCCCATGGGTCAGGTGCTTAGTGCGCAAGGGCCAGATCGAAGGTGCTATCTGGTGACTGCCTCTCCATCCTAACTGGGGGCCCACCGGGGTCCCCTTTCCCTTGGCCTCACTGCTCCTCTGTGGGAAGAGCCACGGCCTGCTGCATCTACCCAGGGTGCACCTGCCCTGGTGCACCTATGCCCGGCTGTGCCTCCATGCCCCCTGCCAGGAAAGCTTTGCTTTTCCCTGCCCATGCCCTGATGCCAACCTCGAAATCTGTGTCCTGGCCACCAAGCCTGGGAGGTCCCCAGTGTCACTGAGGCTACCCCTCTTCTTAAATGGGAAACCGGCTGAGTGAGGGGGAGAACTTCCGGTTCCTCCCGCACGCTCAGGGACCCCGTGTGCATCCTTACTGCTCCCTGCTCGCGGCCAGGATGAGGCGGCCCTGCCCATCTCTCTGCCCTCACCCTGCCTCCTGGCTCACTGAGCCTCGACCCTGAGCCCTGTGTCCTGCATACAGCGAGTGCCTTTAAAACAGGCCAAGCCCAGGCTACCAGGCCACCAACCCTGAGAGTGACATGACAATGCAGAGGGAGTGACGGGGGGGGGGGGGGGACCTTCCATCCCCAAATGCCTAAAACTCCTGGAGTTGGGCCAGACCAAAACCAGAAGACCAGAACTCAACCCAGGTCTCCTATGTGGGTGGCAGGGGCCTGGAGTACTTGAGCCACTACCAGCTGCTCCCCTGGGTGTGTGTTCGCAGGAAGTTGGCCGGGAAGTGGAGGCGGGACAAACCCAGGTGCTCAAACGAGGGGTGCAGGCATCCCAAGCAGCACCTTAGCCCCTGTGCCCAAGGCCTGCTCCCCGGCTTGGCCCTTTTACAGCTGATAGAGCATCCGTTGTCTCTTCCGGGCCTCGCGGCAGTCCTAGGAAGGGGACAGGGAGCGGCCCAGGCCCACTTTATGGATGGGAGCACCAAGGCCAGTCCCCGCAAAGCAAAGCCCCTTTGCCTGGAAGCGAGGCAGCCAGGACTTGACCCTGGGCCTGTCTGCCCCAGCCTCGGGCTGCTCCCAGGGCTCTGCGGGCAGGAATCTGATGTCCAGGGGCAGAAGTCCCACCGAGCCCAGGGCTCTGGGCTAGGGCTCTGCAACCCAGCATCTCCCGGAGGCCCACCCCAGGCCTCCCCACTGCCCTGGGGAGGGAGGACAGCCCAGAGAGGGCGGGCTGAGACTTGGGCAAGGATCAACCCTCTGGGTGCAAGTCTGTGAGCCCTGGGCTGCATGCCCTGGGACAAGTCACCGAGTCTCCGTTCCTGGGGTGGCTGAGGGGCTCTGAGAAGCCAGTGCATGCTCCATTGGGGGCATGGGCCTGTCTCTCAATCTGGGCTCAGCAGGTGTCCAGAGGTGGTCAGGTCCTCCCCTGTGCCTATCCCCAAGCTGGGGCGCCTGGTGAGTGGCCCCAGCCAGCCCTGCAGGATGCCTGCCAGGGAGCACTGTGGTGAGAGTCTGCTGGCTCCAAAGCCTGACTTGTTTCCCCCTGCCTCTAGGGTCTCCCTCAGACTTGGGGGTCTCTTCAATATATGTCACAGGGGCTGGGGCTGATGTGTCAGAGCCCTGGTGGGAGTGCCTCATCCCCATTGCCCAGCCCAGGCCCTGGGTGACCCTGGCCCCCTGCAGAGAGCTGCACCACAAGCCTCCCCCCAAAAAAACACCCTCCCTCACCAATGCCTGAAGATCACCCCACGTGCCAGCCCCGCTCACTCCTCGCACCTCCTGGAGGCAGCATAACTACAGGCTCCACAGTGGCTGCGACCCAGCAAAGACTGTGGCTCAGGAGCTGCCCTGGCTTCTCAGCTGTACGTCCTTGGAATGGCATTTAACCCCTGGGCTCAGTTTTCCCACCTGTAAAATGGGCATGAGCGACAATGCTCATAGCAGCAGTACCTGTGCCTCCTAGGATTGGCATGAGGTATGGGGGTGAAGTGGTTTTATGAGCCATTGTAGGAGAGAGAGAGAGACAGACAGACAGCCTTCTAGGCCGAGAAAGGACAGGACATATGCAATTCAAAGAAAAAGACCAAGCCCAGCCTGGAGTGGCCCTGGTCCTCAGGGCAGGTCTGCCCACGCCCTGTGCATTGTCTGCAGCTCTTGGCTAACCCTGGCCTGCATGGCGCCACCCCCAGAGGTAGCAGAGAAGAATCAAGCTTCCAAAGACCCAGCTCCCTCTGCCAGCTTCCTCCACTCTCTCCTTTCCTGTCCTTGCAGCTGAGCAGCCCCGGGCTTCCTGCTGGACGTCCTCCCAAGCCTTCCTGTGCCTCAGTCTCCTAATCTGCAGAATGGGTTTAATGATGAGGGAGGCAGAGCACCCACAGGAGCTCTTAACCAATGCCCATCCTCTCCCCCAGTCTCCCATAGACCCTTCTCCATCCTGCCCACCCACTACAGGCCCCAAAGCGTGACACTTGTGTGCCCACTACCCCAGTTGCCCAGAGCCACAGAGCCAGGCTTGAGGGAAGAAGGCACAGGTGCCTGCAGCTAATGACCCCAGGTCTTGGGCCAGCTTGGATGCAGCAAGGGGTGGGCCCTCTGTCTCCAGCTGCACTGTCCCCCGCTCACATCTTGACTGTGCCTTCCTCCGTGCCCCCCACACCTTCTGTTCCCTCCCAATGGACGCCTTTCCTTCCTCCTCTCTGTGTCTCTCTATCCGACTCCTATTTCTCCGACCCCAAGGGAGCACTCCAGTTGGCTTCAAGCCACTTCCTACTCCAGGGAGGGCAGGAGCTGCACCCCTAGGTCTATGGGGGACTCTGAGAGTCCTTTCTGGATGCAAGTGGCCCTAGGAGGCCCCCATGGTGAAGCAGGGGCGCTCACAGCCCCCGAGGGAGGGCATGTGGCTGGGCACACAGTGGGCGCTCAATAATTACTCAGTTTGGATAAAGGAGCACAGAGCCGCAGCTTTCCAGGTGCCCACGCGGGGGCGAACAGCCCTGGCCTGGGGGCACAGCTCCCGAGGCTAAAACTGTGCATGTGCTTGGTGACCAGCTTCCCACTTGCCAGATGTGCACACCAAGGCCAGAGAGGCGCAGGCCGGTCGCAGGTCACCCCGCTGGGGGCGGTGGAGCCAGGACTCCACCTCTACCTCTGAGCCACAGGCCCCTCGTCCCACCTCCCTGCCTACAGACATGTCCTGTGCGAATTCTAGAAACCACAGCCATGTGCTTGCCAACAGGTAGCCGCGAGCCAACCGCAGCCGCTTGAAGGACAATGGAGGTTCAGTGACTGCGTGATTTTCGCGTTGCCGTTAAACACCCGGAGCTGTGCTGTAAGTGTGGGAGTTCGGGAGCTGATTTCACGGAATTTCAAGCTTTAGTGCGGTTGCTTATCAAAGAATCTCCATCTGCCCCGCCCCGGGAAGGGGGACAGGATAAGGCTCTGACGAAGTTGTGAGCCCCCCATCTCACGGGCATTCAAGCAGGGGCCAAGGGGACCACTCGTCAGGTCCCTATTGGGTGGCAGATGCACCCAGGCCACTGCGGAAGTCTCTGGGGCACAGAGACGGCCCCACTCCCACAGGTCCTTGGCCCTGGCCTGGACTCAGTTTCCCCACTTGTAAAGCAGCAGTGACTGAGCAGAGGGGTCCTGTGTGACCTGGGTCCAGTGTCTCACCTGCCCTGGGCCTCAGGTTCCCTGGGTTTACAGAGGAGATAGGGATGGTCCCCCAGCCTCAGTTGTCCACGGAGGGTGTGGGAGCTGGCCCACGGCTTCTTCATGTGCCAGATCAGAGGGAGGGCCCTAGGTGGCTCCTGACAACGCGTCTTTCTCAACCCACCAGGAAAGCCAACAGCAGACTGTCACCTGTGTCACCCATTTTCCAAGTGCCTGCTCTGTGCTTATCACTCACCTGCTACCTGTGTGCCCTTCTGGGTTGTGCTGGGAAGGCTCTGGGCCCCTCAAGAGGTACAGACCCTGTGCCACATGGCACCCGAAGCCCATCCCAGCCAGCAGCCCAGTCACAGTCCCCAGGGGTCCTCTCTGAGGCGTGGTCACCACTGTAGACTCTGGGGTCTGCCAGACTTGGACTGGAACCCCACCCAGCCACTTGGTAGCTGGGAGACTCATCTGCAGCCCTCTGGCTCTCCGAGCCTCAGTTTGCTCACCTGCAAAATGGGAGTGCTAACCTCCTTCCCATCTCATGGGTACTTTGTGGATTGCAGGTGCTCACCCCAGGCAGCGCTGGTTCATGTCATTGTCAACATCCTGTGACCAACAAGGAGTGGGCTCCCTAGGGTGTCCCACATTCCATCCTGAGTATTTCCTGAGCTGCTCTTTGTCAGGTCCTGGCAGGCTAAGCTCCCTGTGTCCAATGAGATTGGCCCTGGGACGCAAAGAGGAGAGAGCCCACCTTCCAGGCAGCCCCGGCAGGTCAGCTCCTTCCTGCTTTCCTGGCTGCTGCGTGTCGGCTCCTCTCATCCCCACCGCGCAGACTGCCTGGCTGAGGCCCGGAGACACGCAGAGACATGGCCATGGCAGAGGAGCGAGCGCTCGCACAGGGCCATCCTGCCACGGCTGAAATAAACTACGCCGTGGGCAGGAAGGAGGTGGCGTCATCAGATCGTTGTTAAAAGGGCCAGGCTGTCGGCGTCCTGATGGTGACAGGGCCACTGGTCAGGGGGGCCCCTGGTGCCCCCGGGCAAGGCGAGACACCGTGGAGTCCAAGGTTGTCAGCCCAAGTGAGCTGCACAGACAGCGCCCTCCGCTGATGGGCTGTGCTGCCACAGAGGACAGGATGAGTGGGCAGAGCCAGCAGGGCAGCACCCAGGGGCCCAGGGAGACCCTGATGCCAGTCCTGCTCCACTCCCAGGGCAGGGACCTCGCACAGGGTATGGAACGCCGTAGAACCTCAGATCGCCAAGTGTCAAATGGGGAGAGGATGGGATCACCCTAGTTGTTGTTGTTGTTTTAATTTTCTTTTATTTATATGAGAGATAGACAAAGAGAGTTCCCACGTTCTGGTTCACTCTTCAAATGCCTGCAGGGGCGGGGCTGGGGCTGGGGCTGGGAGCCTGGAGCCAGGGACTCCAGGTCTCTCACATGGATGGCAGAAACAATTGCTCCAGCCATCACCTGCTGTCTCCCAGGGTCTGCGTTGGTGAGAAACTGGAGCCAGTGGCCAGGGCTGGGGATCAAAGCCAGAGCCTCTGACATGGGACGCGGGCATCATAGCCACTCCCAGGGCCTCTTGTTCAGGGTGGGTAACCACAGGTGGGCACGGGGCAGTGATGGCTCGGGGCAGGTCCTGGGAAACTATAGGCTGGATGCAGCTAGCACGCAGCAGCCGGACCTTTTATGGGGACGTCAAACTCCCGCAGGGAGTCCAGCTTCCCTTCTCCCCTGCCTCGCTCCCTCCCTCCCCTCTGCTCCTGCAAACCTCGCCACGTTTCAGCTCCCCAAACACACTCAGCGCTGACATCATCAGATCTTTGCACACGCTCTTCCCTTTGCCTGCAATGCTGTTCCAGGCACTCATTCCTGGCCGGCTCTTTCTCAGCCTAAATGTTCCCTCTCCTGACAGGCCCTCCCTGGCCATGCTGTCCTCCCATGGCCCTTCCTGTCTGCGTCCACAGAGCAGGCGCTCTGCAGTGAGGGGTTTATTTATATCCGTGTCTCACCTTTCTGCGAGGGGCTGGCACCTGTGGGCGCTCATTACATCTTTGCCGGAGTAGGAAAAGGAGAGGCAGCATATCCTGGTCCCCAAGCTCCTCCCATTTCCTGCCCAGCTTAGACACCACCTCCCCCAGGAAGCCTTCGAAGACTAGCCAACCCTCTCCCAGTCTTTCCCTCCCCTGAGATGGCTGGAGCTGTCAGCATCCACACGTAGCATAGAATGCCAGGATCACCTATTAGTCGTATCTGGCCGCCTGCTCTAACTTGCTCCTCCCTGTAGATGCTCAACACCTGCCGTTGGCGCGAGACCCACAGCAACCTGCCAGGCCTCAGTTGGACATATAGCACTCACCCGTCCAAGGCCAGCTGGAGCCCATGGCCGCTGCAACAGAGATGGAACACTGTGGGGGCTCAGCCGGTGCCTGCACGGCGCCACGCGGACTTAGGGCTGGTTACGGTTCCCACTGGGGGTTTCTGCTCTCAGAGCCCCTGTCTGGAGCCCACATCCAGCTCTTGCTTTGCGATCTTGGGGTTCCTTAGAATCAACACCTTGACTGTACAGAGGAAGGGACACCCATTCGGGGTTCAAATCCCATCTCTGCACGTTTGTGGCCGGGTGATCTGGGACAAGTCACCTCACCTCTCTGTGTCTCGGTTACATCCTAAGTACAATGGAATAACCGTAATCCCCACCCCAGGGGGCAGAGGGGAGGGCAAGACCCATTTGTATCAGACAGGGCTTGGCACATAGTAGGTGCAGTATTCATAGTAGGTGTCTTCCCCCTCACGCCTAACCCTGCCTGTCGGAGGGCCTGGCACGGCAAAGGTCGTTAGCAATCAGCACCCCAGCGGCTCAGAGGCCTTTCCGCTCCCGCTCCCCGGGACAGCTCGGCCACCCCTCCTCTCAGGGAAGCTTCCTTCCCAAGTCAGTTCCTTCACCAAGAGCCGTTCTTGCTTTGGGCCTACCCACCACCCAAAGAGGGCTGAAGCGCTTCCCAAGGTGTTTATTTAGCTAAGCTATCTTTTGCAACTGTTTACAGGAAAAGGTGAGCAAATGCTACCTAGCAAGCCAGGGAAATTGCCAACAGGACCACGGGGGCGTGCATGGAGCTGATTTGATGCGTTTGGAAACGAGAATTTTTTTCTTTCTATAATGGCAGCTGTCTTGGGACTTGGTGTGTGTGTGTGTGTGTGTGTGTGTGTGTGTGTGTCCACACTTGTGTGCACATGCATGCAGATGATTCTCAGGGGTAGAAATGCAAAGACACCCAAACAGGGCTGGGCCCCACCTCGCTTCCTGGCCCACAAGGTAGCCTAAGCTGTTCCGTGCGTGCTGAGGGCTGTGCAGATGTTGGGACCGTCCCCACCGCTGGCGGAGGGGCCCCCTCCCCACAGGGAGGTTACAGCTGATGGGAGGGGCCGCCTGATGGGGTTCAACCATCCCGCACGGGGCTCCTGAGCTATGGGTCATCACCAGATCTCCGCAGACGTGTTCTTTCTCATGAGGTATCTGCCAGTCTCCCATCTAGCCAATCAATATTGACGGTCCACATGTGCCACCACTTCCATACACACACACACACACACACAGCCCAGCGTGCAGAAAGGGCAGGGACTTCCCCAGGGCCACCTTATTTCCTAGGGCAGGGACTGAGGTTTGGGGAGGGGTACATCAGGCATAAGGACCCGTGCGGAGGACCTCTGAGCCTCCTGGCTCCTGAAGCAGGGGTGAGCCCAAGGGGCCAAGCACCTGCCTTTACTCAGGTCCCTGAGCCTCACTTTCCTATTTTGGAAGAGGAGCTTCTTGAGGGGGTGCTGAGCCCAGTGGCCAAGATGCCCCTGTCCCTTATCGAAATGCCTGGGTCCAAGTCCCAGCTCCAGCTCCCAACCCCACTGCCATTGCACCCTTGGGGGGCAGCAGGGATGGCTCAAGGAATTGGGTTCCAGCCACGCACCTGGGAGACCTGGCTTGAGCCCCAGGTTCCTGGTTCTGGCTCCAGCCCAGTCTCAGCTCTGTGGGCTTTTGAGAGTGAACCTGGCCGGCGCCGTGGCTCACTAGGCTAATCCTCCGCCTTGCGGCGCTGGCACACCCGGTTCTAGTCCTGGTCTGGGCGCCGGATTCTGTCCTGGTTGCCCCTCTTCCAGGTCAGCTCTCTGCTGTGGCCAGGGAGTGCAGTGGAGGATGGCCCAAGTGCTTGGGCCCTGCACCCCATGGGAGACCAGGATAAGTACCTGGCTCTTGCCGTCGGATCAGCGCGGTGCACCAGCCACAGCGCACCAGCCGTGGCGGCCATTGGAGGGTGAACCAACGGCAAAGGAAGACCTTTCTCTCTGTCTCTCTCTCTCTCACTGTCCACTCTGCCTGTCAAAAAAAAAAATAATAATAAATAAAAAAAGAAAAAAAAAGAGAGAGTGAACCTGAGATGGGAGCTCTCTTCATCCTGTCTGCCTCTCAAAAAGCAAAATGATTAACGGAACCTACTAAAGGAGCTTGCTGACCCTGACCTCTAGGATAAGTTCCAAAAGCTGGGTGCAGTGGTCACAGATCTTGGGTTCTGCCCCCTTCTGAGCATGCGCCTTTGGGTAGCTCACATATCTGTGCCTCAGGACCCCTATCTGTCAATTGTCCCACTGGAACGGGACAGTGCACCTGCTGAGGAGCTGAGCAGGTGCCTGGCACACAGCTGATGCTTAACAACCATACTCCCTAGCACCTCTAAGGGTGGACGGCCCTCCTGCTCTCTGAGCTGAGACGAAACCAGTTCCGCTGTGGGGAACACGAGTTCCCCTTGCTGTTGTCCAGAGTCAGGACCGCCCCTGGTCCCCAGCTTTGGCTGGCAGTGGGGCGGGGAGGCTGCTGACTCCCGCCAGCTCCCCGGGGCTGGGGCTGCTGCCTCCAGCTGCTGCCCCCGCCCTCCCCGCACACAGCCATTGAGAGTTAACGGCTGCACCAGGCCCCAGGGGGCTGCAGCGTCAGGCGGCTTCGAGTGGGGGCTGCACCACGGCTGGACCAGCAGCCCTGTCTGGAGACGGGGGAGGGTAAGAGAGCAGCCCATAACCTGCTCCTGGGCCATTATGTGGGGAGAAAAGTGGAGCAGGTCCGAGCGGGGTGTCACTGCACAGCCACTAATGTCCTCTCCCAGCCCCACTGCAGGTGCAAAATTCTCAACAGCTCCCCACTGGGCTCTTCAGTGGCTCAGGGAGGAGCAGCCCCCTGCCCAGGGTCCCACCACCGCGAGGCAATGGAGCAGCCTATTTTGTTCCATTCCCTGTGCATGACGCCAGTGGGACTCGGAGCTGGGGGCCACAGTGCACTTGGGGAGTGTTGGTTTCGAGCTCAAGTCCCCACGTGCCCTGTTCCTGGGGGCCCCTGGATTCAGGGGCCCCCACCCCCTCCGCAGTTCCTCCATGCTTCCCCGTCCTGAAGAACCTGCACAGACCCTTCTCTTGCACACTGGGTCACCAGCTATAGCCACGGCAGGTTATGCGTCCTTGATCCGCAAGCCTCACTTTTGGGCTTCCCAAGCAACACCAGGGACCGTAGGCCCTGACCATGCCCATCTGGAAGAGGAGGAAACAGAAGCAAGCCCAGGACCTGTACAAAGCTGGACTTGGCGTCCACCTGCGCCTGACTCTGCTGCCTCCAGGGCTCCTGCTGAGTGCGGTTAGGCGACTGTGAGAATCCGGGTCTTTGAGTTCTTGCAGTGAAGCCCCCTGGGGCGGGGGAGGGGCTGAGCTCTCCCACAGCTCCCAACTTGGAGGGCACAGGCAGGGTTGCCCTGGACACACTCAGTGCCTGCTGGATGCCAGCTTCACTCACAGGGGATGCCACTGAGCCCTAGAGGGCTGGCTAGTTCTGATTCTCTCCAGTGCCCAAACCCACAAACATTCAGAGGCAAAACCGCCCAGGGACAGCTGGCAGATGGCAGAGCTAAGTATGTTGATATAATCACCATCACTCCGTGAGGCGGGTACTAGTTCTATTCCCATTTTGCAGATGAGAAAACCGAGGCTCAGAGAGCTCCACACAGCCAGAGGAGCTGGGATTATAAAGAGCTGCGGAGCCCAAGCTGCTAACCCATAATCTACTCCCACCCCACTTGCCATCATTCAAACCCTTGCAGCGCTGGAAGGAAGCTCAGGGGTCCTGGGTTGCCTGATCTTGGGGAAGCCGGCTTTCTGAGCCTCTGTTGCTCACCTGTGCAGTGGGGGGTCAGTACAGTAGCTCCCCACCGTAGGGCGAAGGAAACAGGAGGAGCTGCACACAGTAGGGGCAGACAAACTGGAAGGCACCTGGCCCCAGCTCTGCACACAGAAGCCTCTGTGCTAAAACCCCTTGAGTGCGCAGCTTCCTTGGGGTCTTACAAGGCGGCCGGCCTCTAATTGGGGCTGTGGTCTGCCCCAGCAGGTGCTGCTGCCGAGTTCCAGGGGCCCCCTGGGTAAACAGGGCTGATCCAAGATGACAGCCTGCTCTTCCCGGGCCAGCCCCAGTCCTGTCCCCATTCCTGAAGCTGGGCGCGCTTGTTCCCGGGGGCCGGGGGTGGGGCAGGGGAACCAGGTCAGGGCTTGCAGGGGCCTCCAGGCTCCTCCACTTTCTCCCCGCAGCCCTGTGACCTTGGACAAGCCCCTTCTCCTCTCCCGGCCTCAGTTTCCCTACCCACAAAAGAAAGGGGGCTGGTCGGGGTGACCCCTTCAGGGCCTCTCCAGCAGGGGCTCCGAGGACTTCTCCCACTTCCCCCCGCACCTTGCTTCAGCCTGTTCCAGAGAATTATTTTGGCCTCAGTTCCCATGTCTCTTACTCCTCAAACACAGGAGACCCCAGGATCATCTAGCTCAACAGCATCTTTTAAGTGAGGAGGAGATGACGCCGCCCAGCGAGGGTGAGGGACCTGCCCAATGTCACACAGCCACAACCTTCCCAGCACCTCCCCAGAAAGCCTCCGAGGGGGCACCCCCTAGGGGCGCCGGAGGGGAAGCAGGAGCCCACCAAGACGCCCACACAGCGCCTAACCCGGGACACACTGGGCCAGCCCGCGCACGCGCAGAGACCACCTCGGAAATCAAGACCTGCTAGCCGACTTGCAAAGGCACGGGATGCAAGCCTGGCGCCGGTTCTGGGGCAGTTTCAGAAGCCACGAGCGGCGCGTGGAGACTTGAGCGAGAGAGCGAGAGTGAGAGAGAGCCAGAAAAAGAGGAAGCCCTCACCTGTATTCCTGCGGAGAGGGGTGGTGGCTTTGCCCCGAGTTTCGGATGAGTCCCGACATCATGGATGAGATGTCACTTCCTATCATCTCCTTGGGGCGGGGAGGAGACAAGCAAAAGACAAACTCCCATCAGCGGCGACGGGTCGGGACACCCGCCCTCGGCTCCCCCCCAGCTCCGAGGGTGGAGCTCCAGGAACCTACAGGACACTCTGTCGTTAAAGAAAAACAAACAACACCGCTGGCGGATTCCTGGGCGGCACGGGTCACGTCCTCCCACCCCCCACCCCGCACCTCCGCGAGGTTGTAGGAGAATATGAAGGGACGGGAATAAAGTCGCAGGGGCCAGGGCCGAGGGAAGCCCCTAGGATCCGGGTGGCAACCCTGGAAAACCGCAGTTGCAAAAAGAGGGGTGGGGAAAACCAGCCCGGCTCCCCAACCCGCCCCCCGGAAGCCTTTAAAACAAATAACCTCTCAGGGCGTCCCTAAGTGTCGCAAACTCCAAGCCTGAAAACGCACAGGGAAACCCACCCAGGGCCATCGCTGCAGGATCCCCCGGGAGAGAGGCTTGGGACGGGGGAGTCGCCGAGCGCGGCCCCGCACGGCCCGGCACTGCGGTACCTGCAGCCGGCGGTGGCGGGCGCGCGGGGTTCCGGAGGGGGCCTCCCTGGCGCTCGCCCCTCGCGTTCTGCAATTTGGCCGCCGTCGCAGCTCGAACCGTTTTTAAATTTCCCTCTCCGGAGCTGTCCAGCTCAGAGCATGCGCAGTAGCCGTGCGGGGGGCTTTTTTTTTTCTTTCCCCCAAGGGTCAGTTACCGGGCAGGGTCAAGGGGACCGCAGCGGGCGTTCCCCGGCAGCGGCGAGCCCGGCGCGCCCGGGGGGCTCCGGTGTGGGTCGGGGGAGCCGCCCGGGGCTGGGGGATGTGGGGGGCAGGGACGCCCCCGCTCAGATTTGACCCAGTGAGCGCCCGCGAGCATGCGTGTAGACAGCGGGAGGGTGGCGTGGACAGAGGGAACTCAGTGGCA